GGTAATTGCTGCCAGCACCTCTGAGGGAAAGCCGCCCTCAAGTTCCGAGTTCTGCCTGCTGCCAGACAGTCCAGATTCTCCCTGTATGAGCCCTGGGACCCCAGAGATTTCCCGGAACTGGAGTTCAGAGCAGTTGGGAGCTTGTGACTCTCTCCCGATTCAAAAAGACAGCCGCGTCCTCAGGTGCCCGCCCCTTTCCCCGCGCGCCGGAGCCTCCGTACCTCTGCACTTTACTTTCGTAGCTCCTCTGAGTCTGTGTGCTCTTCTCTTTCCTTCTAGTTGTAGAATTTCCACTCAGCCAGCCTTCCTGTGGTTCTGGATGATGACCGTTCTGTCTTTTAGTTGTATTTTTGAAGTTGTTGTCGGAGGCAGCAATTTCCGGTGTTTTCCTATGCCGCCATCTTGGTCTCGATCTCCAAGATAATTCTTGATTCTAAACTTTAGCACTTATTAGCCATAACGTACTAGCTGCCAGACCTTGGGCATGTAACTTTGCCTCTTGGGATTTCAGTTTCCTTATCTTTAAATTGATGATAATAATGGAACCTACGTTATACCATTGTCTTGAGGATTAAATGAGGTCATTTGTGTAAAGTGCTCAACTCAGTACCTGACACATAGTTAATGTTCAAAAAATGTTAACTGTTTAGTAATAATTATGCTATTACTGAAAGATGCTAAAGTCTTCTCTTTACCTTTGCATGTAAAAGAAAACCCATTTCTTACATATGTAGTCATTGCTTATGAAATCATTTGCCTATAGAAATATATAAAAGAATAACCCAACAAAGAAAAGCTGGAGTTCATCACCATAAAACCAAGTATTATATGAAATGTTCTTCTTTAAGAAGACGAAAAAAAATGAAGTATATAAAAATATGAACAATAAAATGGCAATAAATACATATTTATTAACAAATGAATCTAAAAAACACACACAAAGTAAATGAAGAAGCAGAACAGAAACAGATTCATAGATACAGAGAACATTTTAACAGCTGCCAGATGGTAAGGGGGTTGGAGGAGATGGGTGAAAAAGGTGAAGGGATTAAGAAGAACAAATTGGCGGTTACAGAATAGTCATTGGGTTGTAAAGTACAGCATAGGGAATATAGTCATACTATCTAATAACTATGTATGGTGTTAGATGGGTATGAGATTTATCAGGTCGATCAATCACTTAGTAAGTTATATAATGTCTAATCATTGGGGTGAGCACCTGAAAGTAATATAATGTATGTCAACTATAATTGAAAAATGATTTAAAAAGAAATATGTAAGAGAATATAAGGGATATTTACTCTTTTATTGAAGTGGAAGAAGGCAATCATATCACACTATAATTTTAAACAAATTGTGCCCAATCAGAAGTTTTTCTAGGATGTTATCATTTTGTATTGTAGGAGACCAAAATATACTACCCCAAAATATGACTATAAGAGACCAGATCATGCCACCCCAAAATATGCCCCTTTGGCATAAGGATTATTTTGAGCTAATTATTTTGAGAAACAGGAGAAGTTCTGAAAATAGTAGAAGTAACATTTTGTAAGGGAAATTTGTATTTATAAAATCTTCATTTGTGAGGATGTTTCTATATACACTGAGTGGCCAGATTATTATGACCCCCCCATCAGTACTTCGTTGGACCACCTTTTGCCTTCAATACTGCGGCGATTCTTCTTGGCATTGACTCCACGAGATGTTGAAAGGTGATGCGAGGAATCTGACACTATGCCTGATGAATAGCACTGTCCAGTTCTGTGAGATTTGATGGCTGTGGAACCAGCTGCCTGATGGCTCTTTTAACTTTGTCCCACAAATGCTCAATTGGATTGAGATCTGGTGATTGTGGGGGCTACCTAAGCAAGGTAAAGTCTCCCTCATGTTCGTGAAAGCACTCCTGCACAACACGAGCACCGTGTCATGGCGCATTGTCTTGTTGGAAGAAGCCATCTCCATTGGGATACGCCATCAACATGATAGGATGAACTTGATCAGCAATGATAATTAGGTATGTTGTGCTATTCAGTCATTGTTCCACACGAACTACAGGGCCCAAATCATGCCAGGAAAACATGCCCCAAACCATAACACTGCCCCCACCAACTTGAAGGGTACTCATGCATGTGGGGTGCATGCTTTCATGCTGTTTCCGCCAAATTCTCACTCTGCCATCTGCATGATGCAACTGGAAACGTGATTCATCGGATCACATGACTTTTTTCCAGTGCTCAACTGTCCAATCCTTGTGTTCCTGTGCGAATTGGAGACATTTTATCTTGGTAACTGCAGACAGCAAAGGTGTTTGAACAGGTCTTCGGCTTCCATATCCCATACGATGCAGTGTACGGCTAATTTGCCTACAACAGGTGGTCATAATAATCTGGTCACTCAGTGTATAATACTATGTCAGATATGAGGTATTCAAGTCTCAAAAACAAACAACAACAAAAAAAGATTACCAAAAAACAAATGCATCATTGATTCTACTGTCGTGGTAAACAACCTGCTTCCCTATTTATAATGGTCTGGCCCTCTAGCAACTTCAGTGCGAAATTATAGCTGATTTTCCTACAAATGTCAGGTGGTCATAATAATCTGACTACTCAGTGTATACCAGAAAGAGCTCAACTCTTTCAATTTGCATTACAAATAACATGGAAACTAGTTCTTGTGGAGAATGATTGCTAAGAAATAAAGAACATATATCAACTAATTCTCCTGTGCAGAACTTTGAAGCTGTTAACAGAAGTGCATTGTGGACATAAGGATAATTTTGTTATTGAGATGCTTCTTGGTTTTCTTATGCACGTGACAGTTGAATAACTAGCAGAACGACCA